ACCTATGTGAACAGATATGCCCCACATTAAGTCAGTTACAGAGCCGCCCCTCTCAGTGCAGTCGAGTGCCCCAGTTAGGAGTGGGTGGGTGGGAGCATCTCCCCAGCACGAAGAAGCATTTTGTCACTGACCTTGTTGAGAACTGTGGCTGATTTTTAGGCAGTTTTAGTTTGGTTTAAAATTGTCTAATGCTCTGCCTCTGTTTGTGCCCATCTACATGAGGTATCATCTGTCCCCCCAAAGTCAGTGAGTTCTGGGACCTATGCTCGTCAGCTTGGTGTTGCTCTGCCCAGGACATCAGCAAAATCTAAGTTGTTGCTGTGCAAGTTCAGACAGAGGAAGGGAGAAGGTCAAAGTCCTGCAAGCCTTCCGGAACCCAGCTCAAGCTCCACCTCCCGCAGGAAGCCCTCCCTGACTTCCCTGCTCCTTCCCTTGGTGTCCTGTCATGAGGCCACCCAGGTGCTTTTAGGTTTGACCTTTGAAGGCCTCCATTGCTCACTTGCGCGTGGAGATGGCTATTTCTCTCCTGAGTGCTTCCACCTGACAGGCTGTGTGCCCCGAGCTGGCCACCACTGAGCCTGGCTTCCCGCCCTGCTGCTCCAGGCCCCCACTTAGTGTGAGGTGCGGAGGCGATGGTGGCAGGGCTGTGGTGCTGCTGGGCAGGCTGGGGGCGGGGAGGGAAGGGGGCCGGGGCAGAAGACGCACTGAACGTGGGTCCAAGAACTGGTTGCACTGGATGAGGTCACCCAGGGGTCAGGGGAGGAGGCAAAATTACCCGTCCAAGCGATTCAGAGTTAAGGTCACTTTCATTCTAAGCCAATGAGCATTTTGTTTTGGGTTTTCTTCCTAAGCCATAACCTTTTCTTTTTTATTCATACACAGGTTGTAGCTGGACTACAAATGCAGGGGTGTGCACTGGGGAGACAGGCTCTGGAGAAGAGGATTGGAGGGTCACTGGCCCAGTTGGGGGGGGGGTTCATTTCCTTCCTGCCCTCCTCCCTTGGGGCTTGAACATCCTTCCCGTCTGGGCCTGATGGCCAAGGCAGGTCCTCATGGCTGCTGTCAGTCCAGACCCCCCCCTCCTGAGGTGCCTGTACAAACTGTGCTCAGGAAGGAGCTGTCTGGGTGGAGGAATGAACCAAGCAGTCCGTCTAACCAGCCCCTGGTCATATGGGCCTCCTGAAGGGGCTTGAGCAGCCCGAGCTAGCCCATTTTCTCCAGGCTGCCTCCAAGCCCTGGCACAGCCCTGCCCCGGCACCAGTGGCTCCGCCACCCAAGAGCCCCAAGGCCGGGTTCTAGCAACGGGGCCAGGGGAGCCTGGGCGCCTGGGGCTTGCTCTAGGGGCTGGGCAGCAGGCTCCCATCAGGGCCCCCGGCTCTACCTCCCAGGCCTTGGGGCCCACGCTTCCTGGCAGGCAGCATTTACTCCCTCAGTGATGCCGAGGGCAGCCGGGTAACCCACCACGCCTGCCCTTTGCACGCACACGCCCCTGAGGCTGACCAATCATTATGTTCTCCCTTGTGAGGCCGGGGCTGGGACGGGGCATTTTAATCCCGAGTGCATCTCTGATGGGCAGGCAGCGTAGCTCCCAGGATGTGAGCCCTCCGGACAAATGCTGGCTTTGGACTTGTGCTCAGGCACTAGCAGGTGTTGCCCAGGCCTCTGCAGTGCACTTGCGGGCTGACACCACCCTGGCTCTGGTGTGAATACTGCGCTCTCGGGGTCAAGATCCAGTGGGCTCGAGGCCACGCTCCTGTTTGATTCTCATCAGATATGCACATCTGAGGCTGAGCCCATAAACCTCACAGCCTGAGCCAGGTCACTGCCTGGAGCTTGGACATGCAAGTGACCCTGGGCTCAGACGTAGCACACTGTGACCCCAGAGAGCCTCCTGGCTTGTGAGACTGGCAGAAACTTGGACCTTCATAGGGGGCACGTAGGTGTAAGGCATTTAGGGAAAATCCTCCTGCTGGCGATCGGGGCTCTAACAAAGACCCCTCAAGAAGGATTCTAAAATGGCTCAAGGTCAAGAGCTTGGGAACTTAATTCCCATCAAAAACCTGTCATGAATCAAGCATCCATGGGTTTACTGAAAATTTTTAGAAGGGAGAAGAGAAAAGTATACTTCCTCATCCGGTGCATTTTGGGATGACGGATTCCTTTATTGCTCTGTGCAAAACAGTACTTTTCTAAGTTTTTCTAAGGTTTCCTCTGGTTCCAGGAAGATAAAGCTTTGTTTGTGTTTTTTTTTTATCAAGCCGTCAAAGATTTTAGTGACTCCTGGCTCAGCTGCTTAGGGACTTTTTTGCCCTCTGGTGGGTTCCTCATTATGTACCTGTTTCCTGCAGCTGTACCTGCCATCACATCAAGTCTTCCGTGGAGTCTGCTGGCTGAAAACATCCCCAGCGTGGAAGAGCCAGGGTTTTGTGCATAAGTTGGAGCATTTTCTCTAGGAGCCTTTGGGAGGGATGATAGCTTAGGGCTCCTGCACAATGATTCTGACTTCCTTGGGGCACGTCCGCCAGGCCAGAGCAATTGATTCCCAAAGTCTAGTTAATTTCCTGTAACTTATACTTGCCCGCATTAATAATAACCATGTGCATTACGTGCCAGGCATGGCTGCAAGATCTTTACATTTATAACCTCATTTGCTATCATTAGTCATAACTTTATGGGACATAAGATTGCATTTTTGCACAGGTGGAGTACCCTCTCCCTTTCACAGAATGCAGACCTGAGGTTTACCTATGTGAACAGATATGCCCCACATTAAGTCAGTTACAGAGCCGCCCCTCTCAGTGCAGTCGAGTGCCCCAGTTAGGAGTGGGTGGGTGGGAGCATCTGCCCCAGCACGAAGAAGCATTTTGTCACTGACCTTGTTGAGAACTGTGGCTGATTTTTAGGCAGTTTTAGTTTGGTTTAAAATTGTCTAATGCTCTGCCTCTGTTTGTGCCCATCTACGTGAGGTATCATCTGTCCCCCCAAAGTCAGTGAGTTCTGGGACCTATGCTCGTCAGCTTGGTGTTGCTCTGCCCAGGACATCAGCAAAATCTAAGTTGTTGCTGTGCAAGTTCAGACAGAGGAAGGGAGAAGGTCAAAGTCCTGCAGGCCTTCCGGAACCCAGCTCAAGCTCCACCTCCCGCAGGAAGCCCTCCCTGACTTCCCTGCTCCTTCCCTTGGTGTCCTGTCATGAGGCCACCCAGGTGCTTTTAGGTTTGACCTTTGAAGGCCTCCATTGCTCACTTGCGCGTGGAGATGGCTATTTCTCTCCTGAGTGCTTCCACCTGACAGGCTGTGTGCCCCGAGCTGGCCACCACTGAGCCTGGCTTCCCGCCCTGCTGCTCCAGGCCCCCACTTAGTGTGAGGTGCGGAGGCGATGGTGGCAGGGCTGTGGTGCTGCTGGGCAGGCTGGGGGCGGGGAGGGAAGGGGGGCCGGGGCAGAAGACGCACTGAACGTGGGTCCAAGAACTGGTTGCACTGGATGAGGTCACCCAGGGGTCAGGGGAGGAGGCAAAATTACCCGTCCAAGCGATTCAGAGTTAAGGTCACTTTCATTCTAAGCCAATGAGCATTTTGTTTTGGGTTTTCTTCCTAAGCCATAACCTTTTCTTTTTTATTCATACACAGGTTGTAGCTGGACTACAAATGCAGGGGTGTGCACTGGGGAGACAGGCTCTGGAGAAGAGGATTGGAGGGTCACTGGCCCAGTTGGGGGGGGGGTTCATTTCCTTCCTGCCCTCCTCCCTTGGGGCTTGAACATCCTTCCCGTCTGGGCCTGATGGCCAAGGCAGGTCCTCATGGCTGCTGTCAGTCCAGACCCCCCCCTCCTGAGGTGCCTGTACAAACTGTGCTCAGGAAGGAGCTGTCTGGGTGGAGGAATGAACCAAGCAGTCCGTCTAACCAGCCCCTGGTCATATGGGCCTCCTGAAGGGGCTTGAGCAGCCCGAGCTAGCCCATTTTCTCCAGGCTGCCTCCAAGCCCCGGCACAGCCCTGCCCCGGCACCAGTGGCTCCGCCACCCAAGAGCCCCAAGGCCGGGTTCTAGCAACGGGGCCAGGGGAGCCTGGGCGCCTGGGGCTTGCTCTAGGGGCTGGGCAGCAGGCTCCCATCAGGGCCCCCGGCTCTACCTCCCAGGCCTTGGGGCCCACGCTTCCTGGCAGGCCTCTCGCCTCCTCCCAGCACATGTCAGGTCCCCGAAGCCTACAGCAGTTTCTAGATCAAAGCTGAAGGGATTGCTCACCGTGAATTACAGATGCTTCCAAAAGTTCCCCACCTCTCAACCTGCCATCCCCAGCAGCTTCCTGCCTGTGCCCAGGACCCTAATGCCACGGCCCCCTTCCGGCCTCCAGCTGTTCCCTGGCTGCCCACACGGCGCCTTTGCTCCTTAGCGTTTGACTTGGGTTTAACCTTGGGATCAGCGAACATCCGACTTCTCTTTGGTGGGGTTTCCCCATCTTCCGAGCTTTTAACGATCAGGGCCTTGGAGGCTGAAGAGCTCTGGCCTTTCTAGTGTGCGTCGGCTCTTGCTCTGGGGGTGATATTGGGAAAGTTGCATTGTTTTCTGCCTCAGTGTCCCTGAATGTGATACGCATGTTATCACTCTTGGCCTTGCCTCTCTGGTTTTAAGGCAAAGATAAAATCCCAGACAGGAACATGTCTCCCACACACACTGGCTTTTCTGAGAGAATCTTGATTTCAAATGCTTTTGCTTTGTCCCTGCTGTTTGATCTTGCGTCTGATCCTAGGATCTGATTCGGGATCAGAATATGGAGTCTTGAGAATGTATGAATTCTTTATTCCAGAAACGGGCTGGAATTTTATTTACTAATGTGCAAATAAAAACCACCCTGATTCTGCTGCCGGCTGGCACCTGCTGCCTGCGCGGTGGAACATGCCATTCTGTCCAGCGGGAAGCCCTCCCTGCGGAGGCCCTGGGGACCCCGAGCACTCCGGCCCCGTCTCGCCCACCCTGGGCACTGACCAGGGCCGGGGCCGACTCACCCGCACAGAGCATCCACAGCGCCGGCCACATCTTCCCCACTGGGCTCTTGAGTCCTCTCTGCCCCAAGCCCACCTGATGCTGGGGGCTCCACCTGGGTCCTGGACTGGATGATGCTACAATAGCTCCGGCCTGGCCCAGCCTAGGTCCCTGCGGTTTTGCTCTTCCCGTGCCCCTGTGCGTAGCCTGTCCCCCACGGCCTGCCCCTCACCTGGACCATCAGGTGAGTTCACCTGTGGGGCTGGGTTTGTGCTCTGCCTACGCCACCAAAGGCCCCAACGGGAACCGCCCCACCTTCTCCTGCACCAGTCACTTCCTCCACACACTTAGCAGGTGTACAAAGTCCTGGGCTTCTCGCCTGGGTGTGGACTTCTATAACAGATGTGGTACCGCCTCGTAATAACAGGCGAGTGATCTCTGAGGAAGGGTCACAGAGCCCATAAAGGAAGGGTGTTGCCCACAGCTGTGGCAAAGCTCCAAGGCTCCAGGGGAGCTGTTCGCCCACCGCCCCAGTCCACACCCCCTCTGCCCACACTGGAGCTGTGGCCACAAGACAGGTGGTCTCTACCCTCAGACAGCATGAAGTAAACAAAGAAGACAGTCTCAGAAATACTGTCACCACCCTGTCTCAGTTCGCTTGGAAGTGTTCCAGTTTTAAATCAGAAAGCCCCTGGCACCTGGCCTTCCCAGGCAAACTGGGGGTGGGGGGGGTCAGCCCACTCACTGTGCTGCTGGGAGCCTGGCCTGGGAAAGGGTGCAGAAATTGAAGCTGGGGTGGCAAAGGCCCCGCTTTTGACTGTGTGCTCAGAACAAAATGGGGAGATGAGTGTTATGATTCTGTTTTATAAACAGGGATCCGAGTCTCTGGGAAGCTAAATGACTTCTCCAAGGTCACACAGCTAGCAAGTGGCTTTCTGATTTCTAGGCCACCACTTCGGTGGCCCAGATGTCACCCTCTGCAGGTGACAGAGGGCACGGAGAAGACAGAGGCCCCAGGTGCCTTGTCCCGAGCAGTCCTGTCCTCACCAGTTGCCACCCTACATGTGCCAGCTGTCCGTCTTTCTGTCTCCCACGCCCCCCCCACCCCCTCCTTCCCTAAGCCAGGTGCCCATTAGCCTGAGCCTGGCCCTCGGTCCCTCCCTGCCCTTCCTGCTCGGCTGCTGTCCTCCCCCCTGTCCCTGTCCACCCACCCCCTCCCGTCTTCACGAGCCTTGGTGTCTACGGACATGAGCTGAACACCACCGGTTTCTCAGCTGCAGTTGTTCTTCGGAAGTCACTTTTGATTCCCTATTCTGACCCCAGAGGTAGGTTGGTGACTGGTCGACGGTGGCACTGTGTGCCCCTCAGAGGTCCCCTCCTTGACTACTGTCTGCAAGGGAGCCCCCGCCCCAGGCCACCATCCTGTCAGCTTTCTTCACAGCTCTAGCCACTTGAAACTGATTGTGCTGCCCTCTAACTTTGTGCCACCCCTGCCGGAGTCCCTCTGCCCCCCACAGCCTGCTGTCAACATCTGACTTGCGTTTACAAGCTGGCGCCCATCCCATCCCTCCCTCCATGCAGCCCTCCCTGACTGCCCCAGCAGAAGGGCGCCCTCCCTCCTTAATGCTCACACAGCCCTCTGGCCACTCCTGGAGCACTAACTGCATTCTGCCTTAGCTTGAGCTATTTTTGATCTATGTCTCATGGCTCCTGATAAACTGTGAGCTCATTCATTTATCCAGCCGGCGTTTAATGGTACTGTCTTCTAGGCATTGATTCACCTCACCAGAGAGAGAGACCATTTTAAGCATGTAGTTACATGTCTTACTAACTTCGGTCAAGCACAGTGCCTGACGCAGAGTCGGCATCAGCAGCTATTTGTGAATGGGCTGGGCAGGTGGGCGGGTGGATGAAGGGTGGTCAGAGGATGTGAGGCGGGAGGTGGGGAAGTGCGGGGGGTGCAGGCCGGGAGCTCCCCAGACCTATGTGGGGCTCCTGAATCATTTTCTGGGACTGCCCACTGACCATCCCCCGGCATGTGGCCAAGGGGTTGTGGAGGGGATGTAAGGGCCAGTTACCACCCCAGTCACCCTGCTGTGAGCCATGTAACCCCGGTCACAGCAGTGATGGCTCCTGGGTGGCACCAGGCTCTCCCAGCCCATCAGAGGTCCTGCCTACTCTGTACAGGGTGATTTTTCCCGCCCCCTCCGTGCCGACATGGGCTGAGGTACAGCTTGCCTTGTCCTTAGAGCCCTGGCTGCAGACCATCTCCTGGGAGGCCTCGAGGGGCAGCCGGGCAGGGGTCTCAGAGGGCCCAGCACGCCTTCCGGTGGGCATCTGCCCCCACGCAGCGAGACCTTCCCCCAGCCCTGCGGCTGATGCTGGCATCTGTTCAGCCAGCCGGCAGGGAAGGAGTTAAGAGGGGCCCGCTTGGGTCCACGTCCTGAGCCGCATTCCTTCTCCAGGGGCTCTGCCAGGCTCTGGGGCCAGAGGCTAAATTTAGAAGGCAGCTAAGGTCTCCTGCTAGCAGCTGTTAGGCCCCTCAGAGGAGCGCCGGGGAGGGAAGAGGCTGGTTCCTCTCACTGGACGGAGCGTCTGGCCCTTCCACCTCGTCCACAGGCCCTTGAGTGGCTGCCCTTTGGTGTGGGGACAGCGGCAGGTCAGTGGTGTGCGTCTGTCTATGTCGGCCTGTGAGCCCAGGACTTAGAAGCCAGGCGGCAGTGGCTCTGAGGGGCAGGGCCCGGCTCCTGGGGGACTTCCTGTCCCTTGGCTGGCTGCGGGTGGCCCCTGGGTTAGAGGCAGAAGGACCCCTGGGACCTTGGTCAGAGAGGCTGAGGCAGGCCAGCTGCCCTCTCCCGCAGGGACAAAGGGGTCGTGGGTGCTTGTGCAGAGCGGCCCGCGGGCGTGTGTGCGCCCAGGAATTCCAGCAGAAAGACCTTGCCAGTCTGGGGAGTTCATGGCTCCCACCTACGAATGTCTGGTTCCTCTCCCTGCTTCCCTGCCGGCATCTCGGGAGGAGCCAGGTCGACAGTTCCTACGTGTTGTGGCTCCAGGGTGGGCTGTTTAAGCAGCTAGGGTGTGCGTCTCGGTGTCCTGGTAACAGCAGTGACCACGCCAGTCTGGGTCCTTCCCCACCAGGCACTGGCGTGAGGGGACCTTCCCTTGCTAGTTGCGTGGAGGAGGCTTCACTGGCACTAACCCCCCTCAACACCTCCACAGCCATACTCCCTGACTGCCTTTTTCATGCCAAACTTACAGAGGCTACAGGCTGTCATGGCGACCAGTGGAGACCCAGCAGAGGAGCAGGTCGTCCCGTGCAAAGAGGATGAAGCGGACCTCAGGGCCGTGCAGGCCCAGTACCTCCGGAGCCCCTCCCCCAGCCAGTAAGTGTGCCCCTGCTGAGCTCCGCACCCCTCCAGCTGCGGCAGAAGCAGGCTAAGAAGCATGCCAGGGAGTGGCCTCGGGGCCACTGAGTCCTTCCTATGTGTGGTGCTGCTGGAGGAGGTCAGTGTGGGGCAGACGGTGCTGCACGTGGCATGGCAGGTGCAGAGTGAGTGGGCGGAAGGTCTAGTGAGGGGGAGGCCAGGCCAAGGAGCAGCTGGCTTGGAAGGGTCAGGGGAGGCTTTCTCCAGGAGATGGTGCTGGGCCTGAACTGCTCTCGAAGGACGGGTAGGCGTCCGCAGGTGTCCCTGGGGGATGGCGCTTGGTCTCTAGGACCACAGATTGTGAACAGAAGGCAGTGGGACAGGCAGAGGCCCCTGGGCCAGGCCCTAGCGTCAAGATGATTTTGCATGTGTCATCAGACTGGCGTATGTGCATGCCTGGGGATAAGTGGCCGGGACTATGACAAGTTATCAAAAACCTACTTGTACGTAAAATCTTTGAGAGTATATTGTGATGGAGATCGAAAATTTTGCATGCAATTGTCATAAAATCCAGGGGGCATCAAAGAAATGCTCACTCACTACTACAGCATTAGTGTCTGCGCCTGCCCAGCTGCTGCACCTTAAGTAATAGCAGGGGACATGACTTCCGTCTTAGCTCTGTCACCAAATCTATGTGAAGGATGACTTCAGTTGTTGGGTCTGTATCTCCTCATCTATGAAAAGGGAATGGAAGACCCAGCCCTGCTTGGCCTCACTTTTTCTTTGTCCTCCTGGGGTCTTGCTGGCTCAGGACTCGAAAGGCTTCTCCGCTGGAGTGGGGTTGGGGGGTGGGCGGGTGCCCATCCCTCATGGGCCGGGCCACTCTGTCCCAATGTGCCCTGGGGACTTTTCCTTTAAAATTCAGCATTATGTTCCCCCTGAGGAAAACTGTCAGGGCTGAGAGATGTGAAATGCGCTCCATCCCCTCTCTACACAACCAGACATGAGTTTCCTGGTGGCTGCAGTAGGTGGTGGCTGTGTTAATAGTTGGAGTAATATGAGCTTCTAGAGCAAGTGGACATTTCTTTCTCACTCACATATGTTCCGAAATGGGCACCTGAGCAGTGAGTCAGGAACCAGATCCTACGCTTTCAGGCACGGCTTCCTAAGTTACTGTGTTCTCAGCATCAAGACAAAATGGGCAAGAGCACAGAGGATCTCTCGGCGGGTTTATGGGCCAGGCCTGAATCTGTCTGCTCACTTCCACTCATATTCTGTTGACCAGAACGTGCAGGACCATGCTTTCTTGTGAGGGAGGGTGGGGAAGGAGGTCCCTGAGCCCAGGAGAAAGAGCAAAGGGGCTTGCTGACATGTAGCTGTCTCGGCACAGTATTCCCCTCTAGGCAGGTAATATTCTTGCTACCTTTTCTCCCCACTCAGAGTACACATTTGGTGTGTCCCAGGGGAGACAACCCAGATCCCATTACCAGCTGTGTAGCTTGCTTTCGGTTAGTGTTTGCGATTGTGGCCATGTGTATTTTCCAGAAATGGCCACAGTATCTCCCATCCCACTTGCTCTCGTTACAGTATGGCCTCGGTGCTGCTCCAGTGGAGTGGTGGGTGCTGCCTCCACTGGAAGCTTCGTGGTCCTTTATGGGACTTCTGACGCTAGATAATGAAAATCAAGGCTCTTCCGTCTTCTCTTGGGTGCTAATGCTTGGGATTCAGCGTACACAGCTCAAAGGCTGGCTTCTCGGAGGGGATCCTCTCCCTCAGGTCTGAGCGCGGCCCCTCGTGGTCCGGCCAGGTGAACTGCAGAAAAGCTCTCACTTGATAAAGGGAGGGCGGGGAGGTACCGCGGTGCCTGGTTCACAGGACTAGTGGGCGTGCTGAGCATGCGTGCCCCAGAAGGAGCCATCCCCTGCACATGACCTCGTCTGCTCCCTGTGGCCTTATCTGCACCCCCAGGCCTTTCTCCTCTTCTGTTACGTCCATAGCCACGTGTGAAGTGAGGTTGGCATGTGCCTCCTTGAAGGCTGTATTGCTTTGGCAGAACGTGTCCTGCTTATGAAGTTTGGGGGCCCGAGGGTCATTTCAAGGCTTATTTGCCCAAAGTCCTTTTAAGGTACATGGTTTCTTTGAAAATATGACCCCTTCAAAAACATAACAGGTTTATGATTTACATAAAGCAGACCACTCGTGTGTCGGAACACACATGGAAGGCGCTTTCTGAGGGACACTTTTCAACCTGGTTGTTTCTTCACCTCCTTGTCGTGTCGGCATGCTTCCCCCTCAATTATCCTGATAGGTTATCCGAAGCTTGAAATGGAGTGGCAAGTCCAGGGGCGTGTTGTTATTTTTAGTGTAGTCAGTGGGAGTCTCCCAGCAGAAGGTATAACAAGCTAAGGAGGGGAGATTATCAAATACAGTCAATCCGGAAGGAGGCAAAGCAAGGGAAGAGATGTGTAGCCTGGGCACAGCAGACGTAAGAGGACAGTAGGTGGTAGATTTAAACCCAAATATGCAAGTACTTAATTACATTAAACATAAATGGACCTAATACAACAATTAAAAGACAAAAATTGTCAGACACAATGCTTTTAAAAGCTTATATACTGTTTACAAGAAACGCCTTAAAAATAAGGATATACAAAGGTTAACAAAGGATGGAAAACATACTACGTTCTAGTTACTTTTGCTCAGAACTTCAAAACTTAGTGACATAAAACAGCTATTTTATTATCGTCCACATTCAGGAACCCGGACAAGGTACAGTGGTGTGGTTTGTCTTTGCTCCGAGATGTTTGGGGCCTCAGCTAGAAAGACCTGAAGATTGGGGGTGACTTTCAGGCTGGGAGTGACTCTGCAGCTGGGGGCTTGCGTCATGGAGGCATCTCTACAGGCTTGACTTGGGCGGGACTGTTGTCCAGAACACCTAACGTGGTTTTCCCATTGGATCTCTCCATGTGAGCTGGTTTGGGCCCTCTCATGGCCTGGTAGCTGAATCCCAAGCATTAGCACCCAAGAGAAGACGGAAGAGCCTTGATTTTCATTATCTAGCGTCAGAAGTCCCATAAAGGACCACGAGGCTTCCAGTGGAGGCAGCACCCACCACTCCACTGGAGCAGCACCGAGGCCATACTGTAACGAGAGCAAGTGGGATGGGAGATACTGTGGCCATTTCTGGAAAATACACATGGCCACAATCGCAAACACTAACCGAAAGCAAGCTAGTGAAGCTATTTTTTGACATCAGAGACTTGAAGATAAGCATCACTAGAGACAAACAGGGATGTTTTGAAATGATCCAGGGTTCAGTTCACCAGGAAAATATCATTTTAAATTTCTATAATGACATAGCCTTAAAACATATAAAGCAAAAAATTGACAGAACTGAAGAAAAAGTTAAAATCCATGATCTTAGTCAAATGTATATATATTTTTTAAAAGGGGTCTTAGCAACGATCACATGAGGTAAAAAAAATCATTGAGAATACAGGAAGTTTGAACAAAGCAATAAAGAAGATTAACCTAATTTCTCCCTATAGAACATGTCCCCAACAACAGCAAGATGTATATTCTTATGACATGCACATGGAACACTTACCAAAACAGGTCATGTACTGGGCCATACATGTATCAATAGATTTTTAATGTTTGAAGTCATATAAGACATGTTCTCTGACTATTGGAGAACTAAGCTAAAAAAAGTCAACAAAAATAAAAATATATATTAGAAATTCAAGTTAAAACCCAAATTCAATACTACTGCATACTCACCAGGACATCTAAAATTAAGGACTGATGATAGCAACTATTAATGAACATAGGACACAGTCAGAACTCCTGTTTGTCGCTGATAAGAGTATAAATTAGTACAACCATGGAGAGCTTTCTCAGTATCTACTAAAGCTAAGCGTATGTCTGTCCTACAGCCCAGCAGGCTCATTCCTGATACATACTCAATATGAATCAGTACACTTGTGCCCCAGAAGAGAGGTCCTAGACGCTGTAGCAGCGAACAGTCATTAAGGACGTGGAGTGCTTAAACATGATGAACCGTCTGATTAGCAGTAGGGGAGATGAACAAAGTCTACTATATGCACTTTTAAACAGACTTTGTATTGAGTGCCTATCACTTTGGTGTGACTGAGAGCTTCTCAGATTATTGGGTGTGGAAGGCCAACAGTGAGCCCTGCAAGGGGATGTGGGAAGCAGGAATACAATTTTGCTGGTTTCAGTTTTCAATAAAGTTGACCTGCCATAGGACAAAAGCATTTATTAATAGAGAAATTTCCACAACATTTGGTCCTTAGCCTTCCAGCTGCCAGTATCCCTCATAGGCAAGAACAGACCATTCCGTGTGTAGGCGTCCTGGTCCCGTGCACGGCACGTTTCCGCCGGGTTCTCAGTGACCGCTACGGAATGCTACTGGTTTTGAAACCCTCCTTGATCTGTGCATCCTCCTTAGCAAAAAAAAAAAAAAGATTTTAGAAGCTGACTCCAAATATGCTCTCCTGTTTCATAAATGTTCAAGGAAGGCAGACACACAGTGACACTCCACGGACCACCCCTTCCTACAGTCATCGTCGTGAGATGTGAGGCATAAACTCTGAACAGCTGCGCTGGCTTTGAATTACCAGCCACTGCATCACACAGAGCCAGGCCTAACCCTGTCCAGATGAGTATCTTTAAAAATGAAAAGACAATCCACAGATGGGAAGAAACATTTTCAAATCATGTATCTGATAAAGAATTCTTTTAAACAGAATATATTTTTTAAAACTCTCAAATCCCCCCCAAAAAGAAACAACACACTTTGAGAATGGACAAAAAATTTGAAGAGATACTTCACCAAAGAAGATATGTGGATGGGGAATAAGCACGTGAGGATGCTCGAAATCCTTAGGCATTAAGGAAATGCAAACTGAAACTATGATGAGATGCATTACATACGTATTAGAATATCTAAAAGTAAAAAGATTGGCTGAACCAGATGCTGGTGAGAATGTGGAAGA